GGTAGAAATTACCCAGTACTGGCATGCGAATCTTGCTGTTGAAGTTGATATTTGTACTTGTAGAAAGTGGGAAGTAATTTTCTCCCAGGGATCAATTAATTATCCCAGATGTTTGATCAACACTGTGAGTAAATTAAGGATAATTGGTGGAGAAATCCAAAATTGAATCCTAACTTATTGCGTCCCAGAAGTTCAGTGCTAAGCTTTTATTATATCTTATCCGAGTAGAAGTAGAAATCTTAGTTATGTTATCATAAATGATACTTGAAAACACCTGTACTCTATGCACTATACACTTTCTAATTCTCGTTCTTTAATCCATGTTTTTTTCACGCTAAATCGACTGAAGCCAATCCGAAACGATTGGACTAATAATTTCGAAGTTATAAGGATTTCATGTGCAAAAACGTATATTTTTGTGCATGTACTGGCTGCATGCACGTTGCTGATCATGCTATATAAACATGTGACAAACTGCTTACCATGTATTTTTTTCATGCTTAATCGTATGAGAGTATGTATGAGAGTCCATGGAACAATTTTAGAATTTAGTTACAAGAAGTTCCATCCTTAAAACTAATAATTGTAATACTTACATATGTATAGAATTTGCAGTACAATCCAGAAATCATCTGAAAACTTGAAGTATATTTTCCGATGTAATTTCTCATGATGAATTGAATGAGACTAATTCGGAGATGACAGGATTGATAGTTTGGAAGTTATAAGCGTTCGTGAACAAAATTATGTTACTTGCACTCATTTATGCAATGCGGACGTATGACGTATTTAGTTTTATGCATATTTTTACTTATAATCAAATGACTCCAAACATGAAATAAAAGTGTTAATATTTCAAAAACTAAATATAATAATTCTTAATACTAATTCTTAATTAGACTAATTTTGAGGAAAATCCTTATTACTTCAAAACTTTTAATCTTGTGGCAAAGCATTCAAAATGTAAAGTGTTTTAAGTCATCTCAAAAGAAGTACTTTCATCATTCTATATATTATTTATATCTCTCTTTTAAATCACCCTGATTTTTCTCAAAAAAAGAGAAAAAAACGAGAGTAGAGTAGAGAAGTTATAATGTAACATTTGTAATAACATAGCAAAGCATTTTGTCAAAAAATAGTATTTTTTTCCGAAGAAACACTTATTTTTGCTATAATTACTGAACAATCTAGATTATAAATCTAGGTAATAGTTATTTGTGCTATACCGTTTCATAAAGTAAGATAATGTATTTTTGTACATAGCTTGTTCATCGTATTCTCACCTTCATTTTATTTTATACTTTAAGATTTCTAATACTTAAAAACTTCTTGAAAGAAAATTATCTTTATTCAAACTCAAGATTCCAAATTAATTGTTATTCCAAAGCATTATAAATTGACACAGTTGCATATTCTTCAGTTTTGTTCAACGGATGTAATGTGGATTGTTAAAAGAAAAACGTTGCGAAATAAAAAATCTCTTACATAGCTTAACACAGTTGGATAAAATATGCAAAAAAACAACAATATAATTCGCACTGTTACCACTTATAATTCCTGAAGTGATCAAAAAGCCGTCTATTCTTTCCCATGATGTTACCCGAACATAATCACTAGCAAAGCTTGGAATAGGACAACGTAGAACTCCCATGTTGCCTTTTAAGACAAACTCATCAAAAAGGCGTATCTCATAGTGTTGAAGTACCACTGTAATATAAATATGCAGAAAAATTAGATGACACAATTAAAATCATTGTTATGATAAACTAGTCAAAATAGTAAGATTATTAAATAAAGGCAAAATTGTAAGCTTACAAAAATTTATTAAGTATATATAAACTTAAAAAAATTAAAAAACTAATGAACATTTTAAAAAGAATAATGAGCTAGAAAACAAATAACTAAAAGACATAATCTAGAAAAAATAAGAAAAAATAGCGTATTAGTAAAATAGCGTAAAGTTTAGGAAAGGTCTCCGAAGTCAAGTAAGCTGATGGAATTATTTTAGAAATTAGAGTTACTTAGAGTTGATTTACGGTCAAAAAGACTCCTCTAGTTAATAAGTTATTGAGTTAAACCAGTTTTTTCCAGACTTTGGACATATTTACAAATTTCTCCCTGTCTGAGCTGAGCAGTATTGCCCACCAAACGCCTCGAAGCTTGGTAGCTTATTTGAATTCCACCAACACCCTGGATGCATGCTATCTTTTTTTGTCTCTGTCATTCTACTTAATAAAGACTTATAAGCTTTAAGCAAGCGTATGTTATACCAATAACTATAAAGAGATTATAAAAATATACTAGTCCTCAAATCATAAACGTTATCCAAAATTATACAGGTATCATTAAAATTACGAAACTGTTAGATAAAATAACTAAATTTTACCATCTACCAAACAGGATGACAATAAAACCATGTTTTAACCAAATCATACCAATAAAACCTTACCAAATGTTATTAAAGCTCTAGGGTAGAAATTACCATGCTTTTTTGTGCTTGCATTGAGTTAACAAATGCTTTTAATTTGCTCATATTCTGGCAAGTCTGACCATACTTTTTGTTTCAGTGCAAAATACTAACCCATATTCCTGAAAAACATGTTTTATAAATGCGAAACTATTTAAATGGAGAGTAAACATTATATAAAATCAGACAATGTTTGTAAACTTTAAACTGTGGTTATTTGGTTTCTCTGAATGAGAGTACAAAATTAGGTAATTCTCGTGAAAAATAAATTTATTAAACAACGTTATAGAATGTTTTTTTGTAATTTATTGCAATAATCATACGTAATAAACAAGAAATAGAGGAATTAGGTTTTGATTTTTGTTAGGTTTTAATTGACTTTAATTACTAAAATAGTGATTCTTTATAACATATTATTTCGTTTAACTTGAGTATTTTGCAGTTTCCATTTTTTTTAATGTAATGTGGGCTTTTAGAAATATTTCAGTGTTTTGAACATTTTAAATTTGCTTAAATCTTAATTTAGTTTCAAGATATAACCATTTTATATTTTTAAATAAGGCTCATTAAAATTAATTATACAATAATGTGTGCGATTTAATGTAGCTAAAGCTTGACTTAATTTATCCCCTTATTAAGTTTGTGCAATGCTGACCACACAGCCACTATGATGCCGTTGGTTACGAAATCCTACCGTTTAAACTTCCATTAAACCTTGGCTATTTTGGGAATAATTTACATTGTTATAGTTGCTGCAAAAATGAAGAATTCTATATTTCAGTTTTGATTAAATCCCCCCCCCCCCCAGATTGTGTTGTAAACATTATTTTTTTTAAAACATGAAATGGTTAAAACGTAGGGCTGTTATGAAAATTAATTTAAATTTATGATCAAGAAATTTTCAGTTCTTCTTATATCTTTTTCATAAATGTTTTAATTGTAAGAAAGGGTGAAAAAGATAGGCTCTCCTTTCTGAAAAGAGTTTAAGTTTTTTTGAAAATAAAACTCCGAGTACCTTTCGTGACTCTAACAAAGTACAAAAAGAACTAATGTTACTCACTGAATCTAAGCTCCTGCACAAAAAATGGTTTCGTTTTAATAACGCCCAGAAGAAAGAAGAACAGGAAAAAAAATCTCACTAGGATATTTTTTTCCTTGAGAAGAATTCTTCAAAGTAATTTTGGAATAAGAGAGTTTCTTCCGTGTTTGCAGAAAAAATACAAAAGGTTCGTTTACAGGAACTTTTAATATGTTGTAGATATTGTGTTGATTTTGATCTCGGAACTTCTTATGAGCAATCTAAAGTACTGTTTATTTCGACCAACTAAAGTTTTCTTAATATATTGCAGATATTAAGTTTAGAAGTTTGAATAGAGTTACAACTTGTTTTCTTTTTTAATGAAATATTTTCTTGAGAAAAAGGATTTTCTGAAATGGCAGTTGTTGAAAAGTATGGTTGACTGTTTTCAATGGAAATATCAAAAGTAATATAATTAATTCCGTTATAATAAATAATTAATTATATATGTATGATAATTTCTGAATTAAGTTTTTTAGGCAAACATTTTTGTATGTGATGTTTATAATTTTTCAGCTTGCTTTAAAACAAATAATTTTTGAACAATTTTATTAAATTTTACGATCACAGGCAAATTGAAAAAAGAATTTGAAATCAATAATATTTTTTTATGTTGATTAAAGAATGAATTTAGAAATTAACTAAATAATAACACCAAAACTAAAATAATAGCACTTAGCATAATTTTTTAAAAAGAATATTTTAATCTCCTTCTTTCTTGTCTTTCTTCAAATGTATAAAACAGAGTTCAGAGTCAGTTAATAAAATTTTATATTTTTATCATCAAAATTGAATTCTTTTACAGCAGAATTTCATGTAATCAGCAAGTTAAACAAAAACTATCTTAAAACTTCATAATTTGTTTTTGAAAAAAAAACAACCTTTTAAAGTATTTTCGTGCAAAGAGAATTTCTTGCACGAACTATTAAAATACTGTTGATATTATGTTGACTTTGCTTTAATTGTAGTAATAGTTATGAAAAAAAAATTATTATCACACTTTTTTTCCCATTTTTTTCAGTAAGTTTCCGTTAGTGATTATATCTACGTAAAATAAAATAAAATCTGAATTTAGGAAATTAATACCTGGTATATTCTTATAACACAATCAGATTGAGTCCTAGTACTTAAAAATCTGATCATTAGGGAGCGAAAGTTATTCAGAGTGATAATTTTGTAGCAAGGGCTGAAACCATTCAGAGACTTTTATAAACCGAATTTAATTACTAACCCTCAAACGTTTTTTTTTAATCGAAATAAATGGGTCTTATTTTGTCATTTTTAAGGTATCCGACTACGCTCAGACCAACATTTTTGAAAAATCAATATTTTTCACAATATTATTGTAGTTTATATTGTAATATCAAGGTAAATAATCACGTTGAATTAATTAAAATGTATAAGCACAAGAATATGTTTACTTAAAGTGATATTTTTAGATAATTTTAATGTGAATAACTAATGCAAATAACTTAGATAATTTTAATGAAAATAACTTTTAAAAAAAATAACCAACGGAAAACACTCGACTCAAAAAACTTTCAAAAAACGTACAAAAGCGTATGGAATTGTACTTACAGTAATAAAATTTTCTGAGCAGCGTATAACCATTTGAAATGTTTTGAACCTCAACTTAAATGATATCATAAAATTCATGTAAATTAATGTGTGTTAAGCCTATTTCTCTTTCATTTCTTTTCTCCATTATTTATAACAAAATATGTCCTAAAACAAAAAAAATAAAAGAGTTCTGAAGGTCTGCTGCATAACAAAAAACATTCCTTGAAAGCTTGAAGACAAATTTATAATAATTATTTGATTTAACTTTCTCTCGTAGAAAAAAAAATTTAATTTTGAGAAATTGTAATTATAGTTTAAAATTACATTTTAGTTGAAAATGTTGAATGTTTGGCAGCTGCAAGCTACTATATTTCATAGGTGGCACATTTGCTTTGCTTTATTTTCATATTTAATGCCTGGAGTTTTCTGCAGGGATATTTTAAAGTAGTTAGTGAATACCGTAACGAATTTAAAACCAATTTAGCATTCAACAGGAGAACAATTTTTGATAAGACAATCTTATAATATTTCAACGCTTTAATATGCATGTAAAAAAATCTAAATATAATTTTTTCAATATTTAGGCAAAAAATAAAACTATTTTTCTGTAATAACGAATTAAAGATACCATAATTCCGAACATACTAAACATTTTATGTGTTACCAACAAAAAATAATAACAAACCTTCTTAAAATATAATTCAGATTATCAGCGGAGAGTCTAGGAGCGCTTTTAGGAAGCAAATTATTCAGACAAAACTTCACACAAATAGAAATGGAACCAGAATTATTACCTACATCATTTTTTGTAATTTCTTGTAAGACCATCGATTATTTTGTGTTTCTTATTTGACCGTCTATTATTGATTGCTATAAACTAAAATTCTGAATCACATTCAAACAGTTTTGAAAACTAGAGGAATCGAACATCATTTTAAGATAGTAAGACAAAAACGTGATTTTTTTGTCAAAATACTCGTTTTAAGTTAGTCGGATAACTTAAACGAATCTTGAAAGTTGCTATGATTAATTATGGTTGTGGTTAGTATTGCCAAATATAAATAATGAGGACAAAAAAAAAGAAATATTTGAATAGTGTCTGGTCATATGATCAAATTTACACTAAGTTAGCAATATTTAAGAGACTATTTAATTTGTTAATTGTGTAGACGTATAAAGTCAAGCACAAAAACGTACTTTATTTGAATAAATATAACTCATTTTTAGAAAAATTGGATTCTTGACCCTAGTAGTATGATGATTGTTGCAATAAGGTAAATATGATAACAATAGACAAATCAAATGAGAGGTCAAATGCTCTGACTTCGTATTGTTAATTCTATTTTTCGCGTATTACGCCAAATCTTTCAAGATATATGGTGAATAAAAAAACTTTTTTTTTAAAATTGTAAAACTTGTTTTCCAATTAACGTAAAAAAATCCCATCTAAAGGAACTAACTTACTAGAGTTATTATTTTTTTATTATTCTAATTAAAATTAAAAGTCAAATAAAATTTTAAACAATAAGTTATGCTGAATTTAGGTAGGTACTTTATTTACGTCGAACTAGAGCTGCATAATGGGCTATTGACGATGATCTG